TGAGCTCCTGTCCTGTCCTGGCTGCACTAACACACTTTAAATCCGGGCTGTCCACACAATAAACCTGACCTTTCTTCCCTAAAGAAATCCCCGTGCGTTGCTGTCCTCGCTCTCTCTCTCTCTCTTTTTTTTTTTTTCCTAGTGCAGTAACCACAGGGGGCTCACGGATTCCCTTCCCCAGCAGCCCCGGTGGCCACGTACCTCCTTCAGGGGTGGGGAATTCCTTCATCTCGCTGCGGGGCCCGTCCCCACGCCCGTTGGTCACCACCATCTCCAGTTTGTAGTTGCTGTAAGGGAACAGCCGGGACACGGTGCCCCGGTTGCGGTCCCCAGGAAAACTCACAAACTGCCGTTTTTTGGAGACCCACAGGTTCTTCAGCAAGCTGCTGTCTCTCCAGAAATAGGCCTTCAAGAGATGGGCGGGCCAGGGGAAGATTTTTTTCGCGTTTAATCGCAGGTTTTGGGGGGTTTTTAGGTGTTAGAAAGCTGAATTTTGCCTCTAAACGCGGCTCGAGGCTGTGGGAGGTCTTAGAGGAATTAGTGGAGCTCCATGAGGAAAATCGGGGTTGTTAACCGAGGAAGAGGCTGAGCAGGGGGTTAAGAGCTTCCCAAAACCACTGAGCTCGGACTAAAGCTGTTCCTAATTCCCAAGGATTAAAATCTGAGCAATTCTCCCTTTCCACTTGGAGTAGTGGTGGGCAAGGAAAGGAGGGACACACCCAGGCACGAATAAAAGCCTGAATTTGGGAAATCTCCCATTCGAGATCCTGACTGTAAATCCTATTTCATGCAGAAACAAGAATCCATTCAGAAGATCCCCCAGAACTGGGAAAAGATGATCAGCAGATGATCGGATTGGGGATGCTGGGGTTCTTTGCAGGAATTTTGAGGTTTTGGGAATGTTTTAATGTCCAGGGCAGGGCCCTGCTCAGAGTTTGGCTTGGTTTGAATGGTTCCATCCTTTGTGCATCAGCAGCAAATATTAAATATTAGATATAAGTTCAGAAAGACAAATAAATATTCAATATAAGCCTGGAAAGATCTGGAAAAGCACAGATCCACACTGGTTTTAGCGCTCAGTTAGTCCTGAGCGCAGGTTTAGCGGTTGTTGATCAGTAAAAAACGCTGTCAGTATTTTGGGGATGACACAAAACCTGACCTGGTTGGGGGGGTCACTCCCTCAGAGCCCCTTTGCTTCGTGGCCAGGACCACCCCAAACCTTCCTTGTTTTCTTGGAGCATCCCAAATCCTGCATCCGAGTCCAGAGGAAGCAACCCCAACCCCATCCTGACACTCCAAAGAGCAAATCCTTGGTGCTGCCCCAAACCCAAAGGCTCCTGGGCCACCAAAGGAAGTTTTCTGTCATCCCCACACCCAGCAGCCCCATCCCTGGGAGCCAGCCAGGAATTTTGGGAGGTTTAGCTGTGTTAATGGTCAGTGCTGGGCAGGGATTTGGGGAATTTGGGATTTGCTCACTCGGTACTCCTTGAGCTGTCCCTGGATGGTGTCCAGGTGCACCCGGGTCCAGGTCAGAGCTATGGCTGTGCTGTTTAAAACCCTGATCCTGACATCCGTGGGCGCAGCCTTGGGATCTGGGCGGGCAGGGATAAAGTGGAGTGGCTGTTAGGAACCTGGAATGACCCTGGAATGACCCTGGAGCACGGACAGATGGACAGGTGGACACCTCCTGCTGGGTTTTTCCCATCACAAATTCCGTGAGGAGCAGCCCCACCATGGCTCCATGGGAAGAAAATAAATCCCATTTCACCCCTCCAGTGATCAGGAGAACATTCCTGATCCAGCTCAAAGTGGAAATTCCTGCTGCAGGGAAGGGTCTGGCTCACCTCCCTCTCCAGGTGAGGGACTCCAGCACATCCAACCCTTTCCTGCCTCGCTTGTCCTAAAGTTGGACCCCAAAGCTCCAAAAAAACCCATTTCCGTATTTTTAATTTGGACAATTTGCTGCTGGTCCCGTTGGGATTTTAGCTCCTTTCTGCAGCTCCTGCTGTGTGGAGAGATCTGGAGCTGCAGCTCAGATCTATTTGTCCAAACTGAACGTGGAATTGTGTCCCAAATCCCACAGTGCCCTGCCCACATCCCTTGCCTGGGATCTGTGGAGGGAGCAGAAAACATTCATAAAGCAGAAAAGCCTCCCTATGTCCCTAGAACCACAGCCTAAAGACAAGAAACTGCTTGTTAAATGACGAATTCAAAAAGGAATTCCAACCCCCATTAGTGGACCCCCTGTTATCTATCTGTAATTTTATATAAAAATTAAAAATATAGGCTAGCTTTGAATGTAAAATCATTCGTGGATTGATTGGTTAGAATGTAGAATTCCCTTGGTAATTGATGCAAAATATAACACCCTCAAAAGATATAAAAACCCCAACCGTTGAATATATCCAAGACTGGATACCTTCACAGAATAAACTCTGGAATTGTGCCTCTCCTCATGTTCTGATCCCTTCACCCTGCTGCTCTGAGGGCGAGCTCCGAGCCAGATTCAATCCAGGCAAAGCTTGGGAGCGCTCCCTGCGCCCTGGAGACCCCAAAACCCAGCGGGCTCCACCCCAAACCCCCACCCCTGCGGCCGAGGCGACACTCACAATCCTCCCCGGAATATCCGATGTAGGTGTCGGGCTCGGGGGCTCTGCCGAAGTCGTTCTCGGCCTGCACCTTGATCTCGTAGGGGACGTAGACCGGCGTGTTCCACACCACGTGCCGCGCGCCCCGCACCGTCTCGTTGTGCCAGCTCCCACGAGGGTCACGCCGCCGCCACCTCACGATGTACCTCAGGTTGGGCCCGTAGGCCTGCGTGGCGTTCAGAGGCTTGGGTTGGGGTGAAAAAGAGGAGGGGAAAGTGAGAAGGAGTATTAAAAAACAACAAAAAAAAAGCCCCACCGAATCAAAATCCAATCGGAGTTTTCTGCCAAGGAGATCCATGAAGTTCCGCTCAGCGGTGGGGTTTTACCCCAGGCTCCGTCAGCAAATCCCAAAGGAGGGCGAGGTTTTGCTCCTAAGAATGAGTTCTTGCCCTCTCCAGGGCAAGGACCGAGAGATTTTATTCACAAAATCCGGGATTTTATTCCTGGAATGGTTTGGGTGGGAAGGGATTTCAGTTCCAAGCCCCTTCCATGGGCAGGGGACAAACATGGAACAAATCAGGTTCCACAAACGCAGATTCCTCATCTTTATATTATATAAAAATCAATCAAATAGGCACAGAATTCCACAATGAATATTCCATATCCGCCATCCCCGTATCCCATCTCTATTCCCGCTGCCATTCCTGCCCTCCCCTCAGCTCATCCCTGATTTGTGGCTGACACCTGCTGGCGCAGGGAGCAAAGCGGGAGCGGCTCCGTGAATCCTCGGAGCTGCTCAAGGACTTTGGGGCATCCTCGGGAAGCTGAGACTGGAATCCGGCATCTTTGGGTGCCACATCTTTGATTTATCTTTATTTTTAATTTTTTAAATCATTCTTTTTATCACAGCCTTTCTCGTACCTACTGCTTTTTATTTCATGGAACCCTGGAATGGTTTGGTTTGGAAGGGACCTGAAATTCCTTTCCATTTCCGCCCCCCATCATGAGCAGGGAGAACTTCCACGATCTCAGATTGCTCCAACCTGGCCTTGGACACTCCCAGGGGTGGGCCAGCCATGGATTCCCTGGAAATTCCATCCCAGCCCCTCCCTACCCTCCCAGGGAAGGATTTATTCCCAAAATCCTGTCTATCCCTGCCCTCCAGCACTCTGAACCCATTTCCCCTCATCCTGAACTCCATCCCAAAAAGCATCCATGCAGAACTCACTGTCCACGTTATCTCCATGTTGTTTTTTTGGGTCCCCGCCCCTTGAACTCCCGTTGGATTTATCTCAGGACCTGAAATTCACATTGAAAACCAAAACAAGGAATTTTTCAACGTCAGAAAACAACCACTGAGTGGTTAAAACCCTGCAAGCCGAAAGTCCTTCCAAGGCAGAAGTTAATGGCCTGATTTTTCCAGAAGTTCCCATTCAGGTTAATGGGACACGAGACTCTCAGTCCTCCGGAAAACCAGGCCGTTTATTTAGGAGGCTCTTTTTTTTTGTTCCCTAAATGTCCTAAATCTTTGAAAGGAAACCATTGTGGAGGGAGCAGAGTTTGTCACTTTGAGCCTGAGACACGGCGGGCACTGCTGGCAGCCAACACTAGATGCCAGCAGATCCTCCAAAAATCTCCCTGGAACAGCTAAAGGAGGAAACGCAGCAGAACTGCTGAGATTCCCAGGAATTCCACCCGCGGAATTTTCCCGAAGCACCGAGGGGACAATCTCAAATCTTGGTTGTGGATTGGAGTGGATTGTTTTGTTCTTTTGTCGTGGAATTTGGGCGGGAAGGGATCTTAAAATCGCCCAATTCCACCCCCTGCCATGGCAGGGACACCTTCCCCTATCCCAGGCTGCTCCAAGCCTCGTCAAACTTGGCCTTGCACACTTCCAGGGATGGCACAGCCACTTTTTTTTTTTCTGGATAATCTGTGCCAGGGCCTCACCAGCACCCCCACAGCATTGACCAGCTTTAACAGCGGCCAATAATTAACAATATTTGCACTTGAGCCCGATTTTCCTACAGATTTCCGAGCTTCCTGCAGTGTGAAAGGACTGGAAGAATTCCTTTAAGGAAAAGAAGGAAAACTAGGGGTTTTTTTCCTATAAAAAATGAGTGACTTTTGTATAAATCTCTGTGCTTTACTGCCTTGAAGGACAACACCTCCAGGATCCCATACGGAAAATTCCACCCTCGCCAAGAAAATTCCACTCTCGCCAACTTCTTCCTGCGATCCAGGGAAGAGCTTCAGTGGAGAGTGATGGATTCCAAGGACCAAAAAAAAAAAAAAAAAAACCAAAAAATTTCCTGGGGATAACTCACGTGCCCCGTTGGTCTGGTAGCGCTCGGAGGGCAGGCTGGGCACGCTGCTGCCCACGTCGTTGACGGCGATGACGCGGAATTGGTAATTCACGTACGGGGAGAGGCTCAGCTCGGCCGAGTTGACGCTCCCGGGATACCTGGAGTGGTTGTGCCACACCCCCGGCTGGATTCGGTCCTCCTCGAACTGGACGATGTAGTCTGGGAAGAGCAGGAGGAGAGGGGTTGTTGGGAAGGGAAAGGATTTGGCAGGAAAGTCTCACGGATATTTTATGTATAACAAAAGGATCTTTGAGTGTAAAATCTGGCAAAGGACCAGAAAGGGTAGCAAGTTTTGATCCAGAAGAAAAAAAAAAATGGAGCCAGTTAACTAGAAACCAAAGGTGAGTTAGCAAGTGAGTTGGAAGGGGTTTTTAAGACTCAGAGCAAAGGATAAATCCGCCTCAAACTAAAAGTGTTTTTACCAAGCAAAAACATTTTCACAGGCAAGCAAGAAAGCCGGTGTTGAAAGTAGAAAGAAAGGTCTCAAAATTTTTCCGCTGCGAGAAAACTGGAAAACAGCTCCTAGATTAAACTGCAACATAATAACTTCTTGTGATTGGGAAATAGTACCACGAATATTGCAATGTTAGTAGTTACAAATGGCTATAGGGAATAGTAAAAATATCGATTGGCTGTCACGTTTTAAGATGCCCTGCAATAAAAAGTAAAAAACGCATTGTGACCAGAGCTGGCTCCAGATGCGCCCCTTGTTTCAGCTCCTACACAGGGCAAAGGGTTTGGATGGGATTTTCCATCACTGGGAAGAGGGACGGGGACAGGGATTTTGGGGACGGACCTGTGATGGGGCTGTTGTTGTCATCGCCAGGGATCCACGTCAGCCGCACGCTCCTCTCGGCCAGATCCGTCAGCTCCAAGTCGCGGGGCCGGTCGGGTCGTTCTGTTGGAATGGGATAAATGAGGCTGGAATTGTCCCAGGAGCAAGTCCCAGTTCCCATCACCCCTCCCAGACCCGTGGCAGGATGTGCTCCAAGGCACAGTCCAGGTCCTGCGGCTCTTTAGGGGACCAGAGTGATTTTTTAAAATGTAAATGTGGTCATTTCTGATATTTCTGTCTTGCCTGGAAATCCTGCCTTTCCAAAGAAAAGTCCTGCCTTTTCCAGGAAAAATCCTGCATTTTCCAAGAAAAATCCTGCCTTTTCCAGGAAAAATCCTACATTTCCAAAGAAAAATTCTGCATTTCCAGGAAAAATCCTACATTTCCAGGAAAAATCCCGCATTTCCAGGAAAAATCCTGCCTTTCCAAAGAAAAATCCTGCTTTTCCAAAGAAAAATCCTGCATTTTCCAGGAAAAATCCTACATTTCCAGGAAAAATCCTGCATTTCCAAAGAAAAATCCTGCCCTTTCCCCAAATAAAAAACGGTGGGAGAAGCATCATGTGCTGGTTTAGGGGCATTTGTGACCTTACACAGAGAAATGCAAATGAACAGCAAGGAAAGGACACAAAACCTCAGTGGGAACATAAATCTGATCGAAATTCCCCATTTTTTTTTTTTAATCTGGTCACAAGGACCGGCTCAAACAATAACAGGAATCAACTCCAGGTAAAAAAATCAGGGGATTCCACGTGAGGGTTTGAAAATCCCATCAGGATTTTTAAGTACAAGGTAAAGTGATTGGTGCACTCAGGAACTGCCACCGTGGGACACAAAATGGAAAAATCAGCTCCTCCAAGGAAAATTTGGGAAGGATTTGGAAAAATCAGATCCTCCAAGGACAATTTGGGCAGGACTTGGAAAAATCAGCTCCTCCAAGGAAAATTTGGGCAGGACTTGGAAAAATCAGCTCCTCCAAGGAAAATTTGGGCAGGACTTGGAAAAATCAGCTCCTCCAAGGACAATTTGGGCAGGACTTGGAAAAATCAGCTCCTCCAAGGACAATTTGGGCAGGACTTGGAAAAATCAGCTCCTCCAAGGACAACCTGGAAACATCATCCCCCAGTTTTTCCAGCTGCCACCCTTTTTCCTCTTGGAGTTACTGGTGAGGGAAAAGCAAAACCAATATGGAAAATAAAAAGGAAGGAGAGGAATTAGTGACGATTACCTTTGGGTAAATCTCTCAACCGATTAGCAGGGATGGCTGCAAGGTAAGACAGTGCTTGTTAACCGGGTTAGTTTAAGCTTGGGTGGCCAAAGGAGCACCTGGCAAACATAAAATTCCAGATTTCAGTGGGAATTGGTCCAGTTTGGGAAGCAGAGCAGGAATATCCTTCCCCCACAGACCTCCACAGTTGTGGTTGACGGTAAAAGGGAAATACCGGCCTGATATGGGGTTAATGAGCCATTAGGGGAAAAGAAGGGAAATAAATCAAGCCTAGGGGAATTATTTGGGATTTTGGGATTCTTGTTCCAGCAGCTGCAGGTAGTGGCATTCCCAGGAATCCGAGGTGGCCCCGGGGATGATAAATCCCTGTTTGCCAAGCGGAGTTTGCAGTGGCACAAATGGGAAATTGGGTGACGTTTGTCCCTCCCTGTGCTGCAAAGGGGACACACAGAGGGGACACACAGAGGGGACACACAGGGCCAGGAGGAGCTGGCTCAGCACCCCAACACCCCACTGAATTCACCCCCAAATTTAGGGCTTTTCTCATGGATCCTCAACATCCACCTGGGGATATTTCGGGCTGTGTGCAACAATCCCTGTTCATTTTTTGCCCTCAAATCCCAAGATATTTTTTTTTTTTTACAATTTCTGCGCCATCATCCCAGACGAGGCAGCGAATCCTGCAACAACAGAAGCCCTGCCCTGCCAGCAGAGCATCCAGGGGACAATCCTGGAGGCCAGACCTCCCTTCCAGCCTGACCTGGAGGTCGGGGTGTCTTGTTCAAAGCCAAGCTCTCAGCTGTGGGGTCAGGAGGGCTTTACCCAGCACGGTGAGATAGGCCCTGGCAGCATCCTGGTCCAGCTCCGTGCTGGCCACGCACGTGTAATCGCCCTGGTCCTTCTCAGTCACTCCAAAGATCGTCAGACCATCCTCTTCCTTCTTCATCCTTCAAGGAAACAACATCCCAAAATTCTGCCCCGACGGATTTTGGGAGCAGTGTCACAGTCTGGATGTTCCCTGACAAAATCCAGCTGGAAACTCGACCCGGAGCAGGAGAACATCTCCGGTCTGGAGGTTTTATCAGCTAAGGATGTGCTGGGTTATTCTGGGAATGCTCATTTCCTGAGGAATCACGCGCTCTGGGGAGTATCTGGGGAATAATCACATTTTTAGGACAGCAGCCAGCCCCAGGCTCGTGCTCTGGGATCAGATCTTGCCTCACAAGAAAGGGGAGTCAGGTACGGAAAGGAAATTAAAGCTGAGCCAGCCACAGCAGAGAAACATTAATTTTGGAATGGCTCGTTATGAATTCCCGGGTTTTATCAAGATGTCCTAAGAAATTTGGGAATAAAACCCTCGGCAAAGTCTGGATTTATTGATAAACCAGCCAGAATTACTGGAGGCAGCCAATGAGATTAGAAGTGTCAAAACCATCAAATGTAGCTTAGGTGGGAACACAATATTTATCCCTGGGGACACCTGGAATGTTCTGCTAAAAATCCGACAATTCTGGGAGAGAAATCGATGGAATTTTTGGGCACACACCTGTTCCCCAGGTACAGGGGGGCATCGTCCTTGAGCCAGGTGACCATGAGCCGGAGCGTGGGGTCGTGCTTGACGCGGCAGTGGAGCCGGGGTATGGTGCCCCTCTTGACCACCTGGTCCTCGGGGCCCCTCACGATCCTGGTGGGGTCTGTGTGGGGTCACAAACGAAGGGTCACACCCCAAACTCCTCAGGAAACCCTCACAATCCTGGTGGGGTCTGTGTGGGGACGAGGGTTATGTCCCAAAGTTCTTTTGTCCCCCCGTGGTCCTGCTGGGATCTGCAGGAGGTCAAGGGTTATGTCCCAAAATTTTCAGGGCCCCTCGTGATCCTGGTGGGGTCTGTGTGGGGTCACAAACGAAGGGTCACACCCCAAACTCCTCAGGACCCCCCGTGATCCTTGTGGGGTCTGTGTGGGGACAAGGGTTATGTCCCAAATTTCTCGTGTCCCCCCATGGTCCTGGTGGGGTCTGCAGCAGGTCAAGGATCAGGTTCCAAACTCCTCAGGTTCCCTCTCAGCCCTTCTGGGGTCTGTGTGGGGTCACAAACAAAGGGTCACACCCCAAACTCCCCAGGTTCTCTCCCAACCTTTCTGGGGTTGTCCCCTGCACGGGGACAAGGGTTATGTCCCCAAAATTCTCGTGTCCCCCCATGATCCTGGTGACAAAGTGTCGTGTCCCAAAATCCTGGGGCTTGTCTCGGGCTCAGCAGAGCGCGGGGTTATTTGGGAAGGACAACACACTTGGGGTGTTTGTCCCACTTTGAACAAATAAATTTTTAACAAGTCATTAATTCGTTCTGAGCCTTTAAAAAAAACCAACATTTTTTTGAGTCAGCGGTTGGATTTGCTGAGTGGGGTAAAAACGATTCCAAAAATGTTTCATTGTCCTCAGCTCACCCTGAGGAACATTTGGGGACAGTGTTGGTGTTGCTGATGGCGCCTCCCAGCCCAAGCCCCTCCACCATCCCCAGCCTTGCTTTTTCCCAACATTAAAATGGAATCTCCACCATTTCAAAGCTCCCAGCTCTCACCTGCTGGGAGACCAGATCAGGCACAACCAACCCCCTTCACCTCAAGGATTATTCCTGCTGCAGCTTCCAGAAAATCCAAGATACTGACCTCAACTATTCCTGCTGCAGCTTCCAGAAAAGCCAAGATACTGACCTCAACTATTCCTGCTGCAGCTTCCAGAAAAGCCAAGAGAATGACCTTAACTATTCCTGCTGCAGTTTCCAGAGGATCCAAAATTTTGACCTCAATTATTTCTGTTCCAACTTCCAGAGGATCCAAGATTTTTGACCTCAACTATTTCTATTCCAACTTCCAGAGGATCCAAGATTTTTGACCTCAACTATTTCTATTCCAACTTCCAGAGGATCCAAGATTTTTGACCTCAACTATTTCTGTTCCAGTTTCCAGAAGAGCCAAGATTTTTTTTACCTCAACTATTTCTACTCCAACTTCTGGAACATCCAAGATTTTGACCTCAACTATTCCTGCTGCAACTTGCAGAAGATCCAAGATTTTGACCTCAACTATTCCTGCAGCAAATTCCAGAAGATCCAAAATTTTGACCTCAACTATTCCTGCCGCAACTTCCAGAAGATCCAAGATTTTGACCTCAACTATTCCTGCCCCAACTTCCAGAAGATCCAAGATTTTGACCTCAACTATTCCTGCCCCAACTTCCAGAAGATCCAAGATTTTGGCACCTCCGTGCCCCTACCTTTGACCTCCAGGCGGACCTGGGCCTCAGCTTTGCCCAGGATGTTGGTGGCCACGCAGGTGTAGATCCCCTGGTCCTCCTTCCGAGCCATGAGCATCTCCAAGCTCCCGTTCTCGTGGGCTTTGTAGTTGCCTCCATCCAGCGTGTTCCCCTGGCCGTTCTTAAACCTCCCAACACCACAAAGTGCTGTTGGAAGGGAAGGAAAAGCAGGAAACCCCCTCCCCTTTCCCACCCCTCGGGACGGAGAGGGATGGGATCCGGCTCTTACCAGCGCAGGGTGGGGATGGGGGACCCGAAAAAGGGACAATCCAGGCGGGTCCTGTTGTTCTGGATCACCCTGATCAGCTGGTTCCGGGGGGCCAGGATCCGGGGGGAAACATCTGCCAACAGCCAAAATTCCAGCCATGGAGAAGGAGAAAAAAATGGATTCTGTTGCTTTTTTTTTTTTTTCCCCTGGCCTTTTCCCTGATTTTTTGGTTCACTTTTCCTACTGGCACTTTGAAAACCCAGAAGAGCTTCTCCATTCCCCTTCCCTCTCCTTCCAGCCTCGTTTTGTGACTCAGATCCCTGGATTTGCCCAGCCTTTGCCTGGTTTGAATCCATGGCAATGGATTCCTGCTCCAAAGCCTGGGTGCCTTTGTGCATTTCCTCAGAGCAGCAAAGGGGAAAACTCCCACAGGGAAAAGGGGACTTGGAAAAACCAGGGAGAGTGACTTGAACATGGGAATGTGGTAATAGGATAAAGGGGAATGATTTTAAACTAAAACAGGAGAGTTTAGGTAGGATATTGGGAAGAAATTCCTGGCTGGGAGGCTGGGGAGGGGCTGGGATGGAATTCCCAGAGAAGTTGTGGCAGCTCCTGCATCCCTGGAAGTGTCCAAGGCCAGGCTTGAAGAACCCTGGGAGAGTGGAAGGTTCCATCCCCTCACCCATCACAAATGGAATTCCAGGTGAATCCCAGAACCAACTGGGGAAAAAGGCTGGAAAAGGTCTCCTGCTTTTCCAATTGGTTGGAAAACAGTCAGAAAAGCTTTCCAGCTTTTCCAATTGGTTGGAAAAAGGCTGGAAAAGGTCTCCAACTTTTCCAATTGGTTGGAAAACGGCTGAAAAAGCTTTCCAAGTTTTCCAATTGGTTGGAAAAAGGCTGGAAAAGATCTCCAACTTTTCCAGTTGGTTGGAAAACGGTAGGAAAAGCTTTCCAGTTTTTCCAATTGGTTGGAAAGAGGTCAGAAAATATTTCCAGCAAGAAGACCTTAAGATCACCAAATCCAACCCACGACCCAACACCGCCACGACGCTAAGCGCCACATCCACCCTTTTAAGCCGAGCTTTGAGCTGAGCTTTTCGAGCTTTCCCACCCTCGGGTTGCAGGGAGATGCGAGGTTTGGGCTCTGGCACGCCCCCAGGCTCACCCAGCACGCTGACGAAGGCGTTGGCCAGCAGGTAGCCGTGCTCGTTGGACGCGTTGCACTGGTACACGGCGCTGCTGCCGATCTGCGTGTCCCGGAACACGATGGTGTCCCCGGCCACCTCCCGGCTCGGGTTGGGGGGAGACGCTTCAAAACAAGGACGGCTCCTTCGATTCGGTTCCCTCCATGAGAATCCACCCCCGTAATGTCATGGGGAGCGTTCCCAGCCCGGTTCGAACGCGGTGAGGGTGTGTGGGCTCCACAGCCACAACTGGGAGCCACTGGGTGAACTGGGGCTGTCCCAGACAAGCTGGGGGTTCACGGGGAGCTCGTGTGGGTGTTGGGGCACACCAGCAGCTCTGGCTCGTGCCCAGCCAGGAGATCCTTGGCTGGGATTTTGGCAGGGATTTTGGTGGGATTTGGGTTGGGATTTTGGAGGAGGAATCAACTCTGGCTTGTGCTCAGCCATGAGATCTTTGGCTGGGATTTTGGTGGGATTTGGGTTGGGATTTTGGAGGAGGAATCAACTCTGGCTCGTGCTTAGCCATGAGATCCTAGGCTGGGATTTTGGCAGGGATTTTGGTGGGATTTGGGTTGGGATTTTGGAGGAGGAATCAACTCTGGCACATGCTTAGCCATGAGATCCTAGGCTGGGATTTTGGCAGGGATTTTGGTGGGATTTGGGTTGGGATTTTGGAGGAGCAGGGTCAGCCTCTCCCTCACTCACATTCGATGGGCTCTCCGTTCACCAGCCACTGGATGGAGGGTTTGGGGTTCCCGTTGGCCCGGCACACGAGCCTGCCGTCCTCGCCGGGGGCCAGGATCAGGTTCTCCGGCTGATCCAGCCAGTAGGGAGCAGCTGGAAAACAGCCCCACCCCGGTGACACAGGGACACAAAATCCCCCCTCCGAGGCTCCCTGGGGATGGAAACTCCGAGCGGGTTTCCTGGGATTCGATGGAGGAGGAGAGGCCCCTTTCCCTCTCCGTGGCCACACAAAGCCAGCACCATTCCTGTCAGTGGGATCCCATCTCCCGCTGCTTTCGGGGCCGTTTGGACAAGATTTAATTTGGAAAAGGGAACGGAATGGGATGGGATATTGGGATGGGATCATTCTTTGGGAGGGTGGGGAGAGGCTGGGATGGAATTCCCAGCGAAACCATGGCTGCCCCATCCCTGGGAGTGTCCAAGGCCGGGTTGGATGGGACTTGGAGCAAGCTGGAATCACGGAATGCATCCCGGAACTGAGTGCTCTTTAAAATCCCTCCAACCCCACCCATTCCACGATTCCCTGAAGAACACAGCACGGACCCATCCCCAGGGAACGGCCCTGCTGTCCCTCCCGGAATTCCATGAACGTCCCCTCCCGGCTGCAGGCGGCCAGGACCCGAAGAGGGAAGGTAAAGGTGACGTACCCTTCACTCTCACCGAGATCGTGTGGCGGATGCTGCCCATCTTGTTGGAGGCCAGGCAGAAATATTCCCCGGAGTCCTCCTCGGACACGTTGGAGATGCGCAGGGCCTTGTTGAAGTTCTCCAGTTTGGTTTTGCCCACCGGGAGCTCTCCGCCTTTCTTGTACCACATGATGTCCGGTGCTGGTCTGAGGAGAGGGGAGCAGATCAGAGCTTTTCCAAAGGCCAGGGAATGGCTCCCAAGTCAAGGGTTGTTATTCCTAAGGAACAGTGAAATTCCCATTCTGGGAACCACTAAAACCCAGGGAGAAGGTCTGATCTGGTTGATGGGCCACCCTTATTCCAATCACTGCCCCTGAACCACGGCCCTGAGCGTCCCCAGCTGGTCAGGATCCACGTTCTCCTCCTGATCCTCCTGGGAATGCAGGATCATGGAATTCTGGAATGGTTTGGGGTGGAAGGGACCTCAAAGCCCGTCCCTGACCACGATGTTGTGGGCAGGACCACGAGCCCAGGACATTTCTGTGGGACACAATTATCTTCCCCCACAGCGTGATGAGGAGAAAATTCCCAAATTTTAGGACAAACCAGTGGGGAATTATCCTCGGACAAGGATCTGAAGACACCTGGAAACCTCAGCTGTTCTGTTTGCTCATTGAGCAGGTTATGGGAGCATTGTTAACTCATCAAAAGGAAGGAACGATCCCTTTTTCCAGATCCAGGGGTGATTCCATGCCCTGATCCCGCTGGGAATTGGCAGGGATCTCCCTCTCCGTGGTACGTACACTCCGGAGGCGATGCATTCCAGCAGGAGATCCACCCCTCGGAGCACCATCTGGCTGCTGGAAGTCCCGTAGGGATACATGAAGCTGGGAGTGGTTTCCGTGATCCCTCGGGCTGGAATCGGCGGGAAGAGAAGGAAAACCGAAACAACAAAAATAAAACAGAAAAACAAAGAAAACAAAACACGGGTCTTTTAAAAGTCTCCGGGAATTCACCTGGGAGGTGTCACCTCCCACGACATCCCGGGATTCTGAACTCACCCAGGAATGTGCCTGGAAAGGAAAGGAGGGCTCCAAATGGATTTGGGATTGAAATCCCAAAAAAGGGGGAAGAGAGAGGAAGTTTGGAGGGCAGGGAGGAGAAGGAGCAGCAGAGGGAGCTGAGCCTTGGGGACGGTCCCCATTCCATCAGTTCCCGCTTTTCCCGCCCTCCCTGCCTCTGGAAAATGGGCTGGAATCAGATGGAACTGGGAAATATTGATGGATGGAACATATAACGATGGACAGCAGGAAAAATGGGCACGGGAAGGGTTTGTTCAGACCCGGAGCTGCTTTTCCAAGGAAATCTCCGGGATATGGAGCATCCCCAGGGCTCCTGCAGCACCAAAGAGGTTTTCCAGCTTTCCTGGAGGCCTGGAAGGATAATTCCCCTTGGAAAGGGACAGCTCAGCCACCAAAATGACCCATTTAGGGCTGGACAGGGAAAAAAAACAAAGGGAAGACACGAGACAGTTCCCTACGGATCCACACACAGTGACGGCCTCTTTGCAGGGGGAAAAAATTAATTATTCATGGAAAAAATTCCATTAAGAAGTGGAATGATTGACCTAGATCTGGATCAGTGAGGACAAAACAGGATGAGATGGGCGGGAAAGCAGCAGTAGCAGGGATGGAAGTTATGGGATTAGGAAAAGGTTGGGATGAGAAAAGGGACACAAAAAATCCTGGAGTGATCCATGGGGAGAGACCATCCCACTGCTGGAGCAGGATTTGGGATGCAGCCCCAAAATTTCCTTGGCTCAATGATTTGGATTTTGGGGATTTTGGGGAACTTCCAGAGCAGGGGAAGGAGGAGGAGAGTGAGGACAGGGGATCTTCTGGGAATTCCCACTTTAGGGAAGGAAAATCCAACCCCAGGATTCACCCGTGGAATTGGTTCCACACCCACGGGCTCCGCGTGCGCTCCCAGTTAATTAATTATGGATTAATGGATTATCAGGGCAGGAAAATGTCAAGTTTATCCCGAAGAGCCGAGTTCTCCGGGTCTGTTTGCATCCCTGCTCCCAGAAAAATTCCCATTCCCAGTTAAACCCAGCTCCCAAACCTCCACCACAACCGGGATCTTCTCCCACCAAATCAGAAAAGTGGGAATTCGTTCTTTAATCAGCCAAGATTGGCTTTGATCAGGATTTATTCCCACTCCAGATCCTGTGGGATAACTGGAAGTGCTAAGCGGAACAAGCTGGATTTTACAAGCCTGTATTAATGATGGCAATTAAAAATCAGGGGGATTAATTAGCACCCTCCTGGCTTTAATGAACTTAAGGACAGCACAGAAAAAAATAATTATTTTTGCTTCAGCACAGCACCGTTAAGAAATAATAATTAATAAATAATAAATAGAAATTAGTTAATAATAAATATTTTGCTGTTTCTAACAGGGAGCAGCCAGAAACTCCCTCAGAACCAGAGGGTCTGAGCATGTGGAAGTTCCAGCTGGAAGTGTCAAGGTTTTCCTCATCCCTCTGGAGAGATCCCAGCTGGAAAAATAAATCCTGGGGTTGTTTATTTCAGCTTAAAAAAATGGACTCTGCTCCCAAGCTTTGCTGTGAGCTGGGATCATCCCAGAAATATCCAATTCTCATCCCAGAGCTGCCAAACTGCCCCAAAATTCCTCCATCAGTTTTCCAGGAATCCCGACACATCCCAGCTGCTCAGCCCCGGCACAGCCAGGCTCAAACAGCCTCAGGTTTGCCAAAAAAAAAAAAAAAAAAAAAAAAAAAAAAAAAAAAAAAAAAAGAGAGAGGAAAAGGAGCAAAACAGGGTTTTAATTCCATTAAAAGGAAAAAAAACAAGTGGGAATTCTGCTAATGAAATATTCCATTTATCCTTTCGGATCGTTTTTCCCTTGGTAATTGCAGTCGGTTTGTCCATGGAATTCTGGGAATCATCGCTCCAGGCTCTGGGGACCGGGGGTGGGCGACACTTCCCGTGGTTATCCCAGCCCTGGAGAGGAATTTGGGACAAGTGTCCCACAGATCTCCCGTGTTCCATGTCCCCACATTCCCAAGCTCAGGAACATCCTGGCAATGGCATTCAGAGCCTTCCAGAACCCTTTTCCAGCTTCCTCTGGAGCCGAGTCAGGATCGTGGGGATCAGCACCCCAAGGAAGAACAGCCAAGAGCCCCAAAATTCCCCCAACACCTCAAATCCTTGGGATTCACATCCCTCTCCGAAATCCCAAAACCTCCAGCATTCCCAGCCAGGTCATTCCAGGCAGCAACCAGGAAAAGGACTGAGGGTAAGAATTTTTATCCCCAGCTCATTAATTACTGAGTTAATTACGGCCTGGGTTGGAGTCTGGGTCTGCACAGGGGTGGGAGAAGGGGACCGGGATCCTCTGGAGCCAGGAAGTTTTCCAGGGAATGTTACAACACAAACAGCAGGAAGTTCCTCCTGTGCATCCGTGAAACAGAATGGGATTGTGTGGATAAAATCCCATTTTCCTGATGGAGTGACTCTTAAAATCCTTTTTCCCTGAACAAAGATATCCAATGGGAAAACTCTCCACTGGAATTCCCTTTGTCCCCTCCCTTACAGGTGGTCGATGCTGCTCCCACCGAAGCTGATTTTGCTGAAAATCCCTTTTTTCCACCCATTTTCCCGAGGATTTCCAGCCCATTCCAGCGCTTCCTCCCGGGCTGATTCCGCTGCCGAGCCTTTCCCAGCTCCTCAGAATCCTCCAGACCCTCCTGCTCCCCATGCCAGGATCCCAAATCCCTTGGCCCTGCCTGGCACGTCCCGCTCTTCCCGCACTCCAGCTCTCCCTGCTTGTCCCCAAAAATCCCCACGGGATGGGTTTTGTCCCCTGGGCTGTGAGGAAACTCCGGCTCCGGCAGGAATTTCCCTCCAGGACACGGTGGGGACAGCAAGGGACATTCCCAGAGCTGGCCCCGCACATTCCCGGCCCCAAAAGCAACAGGAAGGGCAGGAAGTGAATCCTGTCCGGGACAGCTCCGGGTTTGGGAGCAGCTGGAATCCGTGGTGGCTTCTTGGAGACATCCCCAAGATTCCCTGTGCTCCCAAACCAGCCCCAATTTCCCGCTCCCTAAAATCCCTCACTGCTGCCCTTGTTATCCCAACACATCCCTGACAATTCCAACCCATTCCCAGGGAAACCATCCCGGTTTTTTTTTTTTTTTTTTTTTTGTGCCTGCAGCATCATTTAGGATTTTGGGGTGGGATTCTCCCAGAAAGGGCAGAATCCAAAAGGAATTCCCTGCTCAGGTTCAGGATTTTGGGATGAGCTTCTCCCAGCAGGCACAAAATCCAGAGGGAATTCCCTGCCCAGATTCAGGATTTTGGGATGGGATTCTCCCAGCAGGCACAAAACCCAGAGGGAATTCCCTGTCCAGATTCAGGATTTTGGGATGGGATTCTCCCAGCAGACACAGAATCCACAGGGAATTCCCTGCCCAGATTCAGGATTTTGGGATGGGATTCTCCCAGCAGACACAGAATCCACGGGGAATTCCCTGCCCAGATTCAGGATTTTGGGATGGGATTCTCCCAGCAAACACAGAATCCACAGGGAATTCCCTGTCCCGACAAATGGGAGCAGCCTGTGGAAGCATCCAGCACATGTCCAACCTCTCTGCACAGAAATCACCCAGATTTCAGGAAAATATTCCTGAATTCCCAATATTCCTCTTTTTTCCCCCCCTCTTTATATCCCTGCCTGAGTTCAGCTGGAAATACCGGGAATGCTCCCTCTGGAAACGCTGCTTCTGGAGACACAGAAAAGAGGGATGAGGATCTGACGTTTAAATCCTGAGCTTTGCTGAGGACAGGACAGGAGACACCAAACTCAGCTTAACCACAAGGGGCACATCCTATAAACCCCAACCCCCCCCCCCCCAAGCCGGGCTTAACTCGCTTAAACCCCGCTCAGCGGACAGGGGGGAACCCTGTGGGGTTTCGTGGTCGCTCGGGTGGATTTATGCCGATAAATTTTTTGGCAAAGCCGAAGGGACACGGCGACAGCAAAGGGGACACGGGCAGGGAATGGGGTCAGTGGGGTTAGGCGGGACTGGGTTAAGCCGGGACTCCCAAAGCCAGCGTGGACTCACCGCGGTACATGGCGGGGGAATTTCCTAAAGACGTTTCGTTATGGGACTTCTCTGCAATTAAACAAAACACCGTGAGCAGCGCCGGGGAGGCGGGGACAGCGTGGGAAGGGGACACGGAAATTCCTAAAAAAACCAGCCAGGATGGGAGACACGGGGACATCCCAAAAATCAGCAAGGATGGGAACACGGGAACATTCCAAAAAAACAGCGAGGATGGGACAGGGCAGAGGACATCCCAAAAAACAGCCAGGATGGGGACAAAGGGAATTCCCAAAAAACACCAAGGACTGGACAAGGCGGAGGATGCAAGAATTCCCAAAAACAGCCAGGATAGAGAACATGGGGAATTCCCAAAAAATATCAAGGATAGGACATGGCAGGGGACATGGGGACATCCCAAAAACCAGCCAGGATGGGGACACATGGAATTCCCAAAAAGCCCCAAGGACAGGGACACAGTAAATTCCACAAAAAATCAGTAAGGACAGAGCAGGATGGGGGACACAGGGAATTCCCAAAAAAACAATAAGGATGGGACAGGGCAGGGGACATGGAGACATCCCAAAAACCAGTCAAGATGAGAAACACAGGGAATTCCCAAAAAAATCATCAAAGATACGACAGGGTGGAGGTCATGGGGACATCCCAAAAAACAATCAGGATGGGGACACGGGGAATTCCCAAAAAACAGCCAGGATGGGGACACTTGGAATTCCCAAAAACCAGCAAGGATGGGACAGGCAGGAGCAGGGAAGGGATCCAGAAGCACTCGGACAAACACAAGCAGGAAAAGGAGCTGATTTCCCTCTCCAAGGGGTGGGAAGAGCTAAAAGTGTGGGAATTGTGGAGTAAACATTTCCTTGGAATGTTTTTTCTCTTTGGAATCTTTGGGAAAACCCCAAAATTGGAGCAATATGGAGAGGGAAATCGCCCCCTTCCAACATTTTAGGGATCAAGAATTTTTTGTGTGGGAAATTAAAGCCTCAGTTGTAAAATTTTTTAAGGAATCTGGGAGGCTCCTGGGGTGGAATTTGCCTCTGATCCTACAGCAGTTGTTTCCCAAGGAAAACTGGAAGAGAAGGATTTGATTTTCCAAGATCTGGGAGTGAAGGGATGTGGGGACACCTGAGGGGAGCAGGGTGGGGGGAGGTCAAATCCATGAAAATCCACAAAAATCCACCAGGATTTCATCCAGAGCTGGATAAACACGTTTGGAGCCCTTGATGGCTCCAAACCCCACAGATCTTTGTTCGCTGGGATTTTTCCCAAAAATAAATATTGGGATTTTTTTTTGCCCAGCTCTGCGAACAGACAAATATTTCAGAATTCACAAATAACATCTGGAATTTCCAAATTATATCCGGAATAAACGAGCTGCCCACATTCCCAGCCCTGGAAAAGAACCCCTTGGAATGATTTAAATCCCTGATTCCCTACTCCAGGTTTGCACCGAGGAGGAGCAGCTACACCGAGGTGGAAAACTCGTCACTCCCAGGTCCCTTTCATCACATTCCTGTTCATTCAAGCTGCCGGGAAATCAAATTAAATTCCTCCCACCGGCATTCAGGAGCGCCTGGTGCTTCCCAAAAAACAGCCAGCACCTCCCAGCTGGATCTTCCTGGGGATGCTGGGAATGGGTGGAAGCTCCTGCCTTGGTCGATGTCCATTGAGGATTTTGTCACCTCTGTGACAGCTCAGGGTCCTCGTGTCCCTAAAATTGGCGCCATTCCCTCTTCCAGAGTCACCCCAGTGCACCAGGAATTCCTTTTCCTTCAGGAATTCTCATTCCTGGAGGAAAACCTGCCCTGGAAGAGCCTGGAGGCAACGGAAAGGCTCTGGAGAGAGCCCCTGGTGTCCCCTCGTCGATGCTCGGTGGGGACACCTGGGAACGCCCATCCCGAGTGTCCCACCGGATTCCAGAGGCTCCCAACAGATTCCAGAGGCTCCCAACAGATTCCAGAGGCTCCCACCCTCCTGGAGCACAGGAGACCCAGGAATATCCCCAGCCACGTTCCACACTCGTTTTTCCACATCCAATCCCCTGGAGCAAACCGTGGCCAATTCCACCTTCCCGGAGCAGGGAGTGATCCCTGGATATTTTACATTTCCCTGAGTGTGGTGGGAATGTGGAAACACTCCCAGTTTTATCCCAAAGATGTGGAACTGGCGATTCCTGCTCCAAATTTCCTCTGGATGTTTTACATTTCCCTGGAGATGAATTTCCCAGGTGACACAGAAACGCTCTCCAGTTCATCCCAAACACACGGAATTGGCAATTCCTGCACCAAATCACCTCTGGATATTTTACATTTCCCTGGATCAGTAGGAATACTCCAGATGTGTCCAAACTCTGTGATTTACCCCGAACACACGGAATTGGTGATCCCTGCATTTCCCTGGAGATGATGGGAACGCTCCAGATGTGCTGGAACATTCCCTGTTTTATCCCAAACACCCGGAGTTGGCAATTCCTGCAGCGAATTCCCATTTCCCTGGAGATGCTGGGAATGCTCCATTTGTGAAACAATCTCCAGTTTACCCCAATTCCAAACACACGGAATTGGTGATCCCTGCGTTTCCCTGGAGATGGTGGGAATGCCCCAACTGGGCTGAAACATTCCCGGTTTTATCCCAACACAGGGATTTGGTGATTCCTGCTTCAAGTTACCTCTGGATATTTCACACTTCCCTGGAGATCGTGGGATTGCCACATCTCTGATAAAATGTTCCCTGTTTTATCCCACACACACAGAATTGGCAATTCCTGGATTTCCCTGGAGATGGAGGGAATGTCCCATCTGTGAAACATTCCAAATTTTACCTCAAACACATGGAATTGGCAATTCCTGGATTTCCTTAGAGATGGAGGGAATGTCTCATCTGTGAAACATTCCAAATTTTGCCTCAAACACATGGAATTGGCAATTCCTGGATTTCCCTGGCATTGGAGGGAATGCCCCATCTGCAAACACTCCCAGATTAATCCCAAACACGGAATTGGCAATTCCCAGATTTCCCTGGAGATGGAGGGAATGCCCCATCTGCAAACACTCCCAGTTTAATCCCAAACACACGGAATCAACAATTCCTACACCAAACCACCTCCAGAACCCCAAAACCCAGAACCTCCAACCCCATCCCACCCCCAAACCCCATCCTTATCCCACCCAAACCATCCCACTCTTCCCTTGCCGGATTCCTGGCGGGGACAGAGCCCAAACTGGTCGCCCAGTGAGCCACTTACTGGTTTTGACCTTGAGGGTGAAGGGGTTCTTTTGCTGGATGGTGTGGGTGAAGTGGAAGCGGGCGTTGCAGCTGTAGTCGGTCAGCGCGTCCTGGGCCAGCACGTTGGAGAAGTAGAGGTCCCCGTTGTGGCCCTGGGACACGCGCTTGTCCTGCGGGATCGGCTCCATGGCTGCGGGAAAACGGCGGGAATTCGGGATCCGTGGAGGACGGGGAATGTGGGGTGGGGATTGAGGGTGGGGAGGAAGGGCCCTGAACTGATAGAAACGACCTTAAATGAGCAGAAAGTGCCCTAAATTAACGGGCATGAAGATTAACTAACAGAAGCGACCCTAAATTAACAGAAAGTGCCCTAAATTAGTGGCTATGAAGCTAAACTAACAGGAACGACCCTAAATGGGCAGAAAATGTCCTAAATTAGTGGTTATGACCCTAAACTAGCAGAAAGCATCCTAAGCTAGTGGTTAGGACTCTAAACTAACAGAAGTGACCCTAAATTAACAGAAAGTGCCCTAAATTAATGGTTAGGACCCTGAACTAGCAGAAAGTGCTCAAAATCAGTGGTTATGAACCGAAACTAACAGAAACTACCCTAAACTAGCAGAAAGTGCCCAAAATTAGTGGTTATGACACTAAACTAACAGAAAAAACCCTAAATGAGCAGAGAGTGCCCTAAATTAATGGCTATGAAGCTAAACTAACAGAAACGACCCTAAATGAGCAGAAAATGCCCTAAATTAGTGGTTAGGACCCTAAACTAACAGAAACCACCCCAAACTAGCAGGAACAACCCTAAACTAACAAAAACAACCCCAAACTAGCAGGATCAACCCCAAACTCTCAGGACCAGCCCTAAACTAACAAAAACAACCCTAAACTAGCAGGATCAACCCCAAGCTGGCAGAACCAACCCCAAACTGTCAGCAACAACCCCACTCACGGTTATTTTAAACCCCACAGGCGGTGGAGCCGCCATTCCCGGAATTCCCGGCGGGAAAGGCGCTCCCGACTCACAGCTGCTCATCCAGAAGATGACGGGCTCGGGGAGGCCGGGCGGGGGATTGCACTGCAGGCTCAGCGGGGCCCCCTCGTCCACCTCGATCACATCCACCTTCTCCTTGGGCCACAGCGGAGATTCTGCCGCGGGAAGGGAAAGGAAGTGAGAAAAAAAGGGAAGGAATCCTGCGGAGGGATTCCCGCCGGATCCAGCCTGGTTTCAGCTCAGAATTGGTCTGGGCGTGTGCAGAATTCATGACCTGAAATCCATCCCCCCAAATCCATCCCTGGAATCCACACCCTTAAATTCAGACCCTCAAATCCATATTCCTAAATTCATCCATCAAATCTATCCCTGGAATCCACACCCTTAAATTCAGACCTCAATTCCACACCCTCAAATCCATATTCCTAAATTCATCCATCAAATCTATCCCTGGAATCCACACTCTCAAATTCAGGTCCTCAATTCCACATCCATTCTGTGCCCTCAAACCCATATCCTTAAATCCATCCCCTTGAATCCACACCCTCAAATCCATCCCTGGAATCCACACCCTTAAATTCAGATCCTCAACTCCACATCCTCAGTTCCCTGCCCTCAAATCCATCCCCTCAAACTCACCCCTCAAATTAATATCCCAAAATTCATCCCTCAAATCCATCCCTGAAATCCACACCCTTAAATTCATATCCTCAATTCCATCCCCTCAATTCGATGCCCTCAAATCCATCCCTGGAATCCACACCCTTAAATCCATCCATCAAATCCA